GCTATTTTTTGAGGTCCCTAAAGACTACAACAACCAGTCGGCGGGTGTTCTTCAGCTGTTCGGCAAAAGCGTCACCAAGCATGAGAGGCCCATCGTCCCTCCCAGCGAGACCGAGAAGACGCAGGCCGAGCAGAAGCCATGGCTAGTATTCTTACAGGGAGGGCCTGGCTTTGGAAATCCCGAGCCTCAGGACAGTCCAGTCACCCGCACAGCCTTGGATCGCGGTTATCAGGTTCTCTTTCTCGACTATCGAGGAGTTGGGCTTAGCTCGCCTGTCTCTGCTGCCACATTGGCTCTCCAAGGCAACGCTCAGAAACAGGCTGATCACCTCAAGCTGCTCCGTCAGGACAACATTGTCAATGACCTAGAAGCTGTCAGAGCATGTCTTACTAGCGAATTTCCGGAGGAGAAGAAGAAGTGGACTCTTTTTGGCCAGTCCTTTGGAGGCTTTGTCTCCCTGACTTACCTTTCCAAATTTCCCCAGGGCCTGCGAGAGGTCTTTCTGACGGGCGGTCTTGCACCCGTTGGCAAGAGGCCCGAGCAAGTATACGAGGCAACTTTCAAGAAGGTCATGGAGCGAAACAAGGCCTACTACGAGAAATATCCCGAGGACATCGAGTCCGTCCTTAAAGTGGCCCGTTTCATACGAGAAAACAAACGGATTGACCTTCCTGGCGGCGGATACATGACCATCCCAAGGCTGCTCACTCTAGGGATCGCCTTTGGTGCTCATGGTGGTCTTGATTCTGTTCACTTGACCATATTCAAGTTAAAAACGGACCTTGATCAGTTTGGCTTTTTTACGCGTGCTTCTCTCGCCGAATTTGAGCAAGCCACGTCCTTTGACAGTAACATCATCTACGCCATTTTACACGAGGCCATCTACACCGAGAAGCCAGGCGTTGCATCCAACTGGGCCGCTTACCGGGTCGGCAAGGCTCTAGAGGAGTTTTCTTGGTTGGAAAAAGAGCCCACGCTCTCCGGAGACGCGGCCGCTCCTCTCTACTTTTCGGGCGAGATGATCTTCCCACTTCACTTCGAGACATATCCAGAACTGATTCAACTGCGCGAAGCTGCCGAAATACTCGCCAAGTTTGATGAGTGGCCCGAGCTATACGACCATGAGCAGTTACGAAAGAACACGGTTCCGGTGTACGCTGCTAGCTACATAGACGACATGTATGTCGACATTTCTTACGCCAGGGAAACCGCGGCCCTCGTAAAAGGTACCAAAGTTTACGAGACGAACCAACTATATCATTCGGCGCTGCGTGGTAGGACGGGGGACGTTATGCGGGAGCTTTTTAGGCTGAGGGACGACCCTATCGATTAGTCTGTACTTCGATTCATTACTCCATAATCACATTATTGACAGATAATACCGGACACAAATTCTCGCCCTCAGCTCCTTTCGTCCCCTTCTTCGCTCGCTCTCACCTCGCTCTGTTGTCTGATTACCTCGACGTTGACGGATAATAGGACTGAAAGAGTCGGGAATGACAAAAGCCATCATGGAGAGATCTGGGTGGTGTCTCAAACTTGTCTTTGTTCTACTTGTTCTACTACGAATTCGATATCCTAAACACCCTCACAGGGGTATCTTCGCCGCTTTCTTCTTCCAAAAGTCGCATCTCCTCCCCAACTGATCCAGTTCAGCAGTCACAAAACCTGCCGCGCCTATCACCCATTCCTTGTTATCTTCGAGAGATGGAACGCCCGCCGCCGCCGAAGGAGATAGCTTGAGAGCGTTGGGGTCGCCGGTCTGGAAGAAGGAAGCAAAAGCGCCTGTAAGCGCCGATGTTAGTGACAAACAGCAATGATGAGCAAGATGAGAGGCAAGACCACTTACCAGCATACCCTTGGTAACGGGCGGGATCCGACTTCTGCACTGCGTTGACCTGGTTCCACTTTACCCTTTGTTAACGGAAGTCTTACACAATATGGTCAGTATAATCTCACCCAAACGGTATCACTGGCATGCCTAGACGGGTCAAGCGAATATTCGCCAAGCCATCCGCCCTTCGGCGCAGCGCCAGCAAACCAAAAGGCCGGGCATGACAAGACGACGTCCCGGTAGATGAGACCTGCTCTCACGTAGGTTTCATTATACGAAATCGTCTCGGCGGTTCCGGACGTGGGGTACAACCTCTTCACGCCTTCGATCTCGCAGTCGCCAAAGCCGGGGAGGAAACCCCTCAACCACTCATCGAATGAGGCCTCGCTGGAGTTGAAGGGCGGCGATCCTACACTCGTTACGTTCTGGAGACCAGCGGGCACAAAGTTCTCGCCCTCGTGCGTATTATGCATTGCGAACGCCAGCTCCATGTTCACCTTGCCGACAGCGGCTGCCAAGGACAACGGCTGCTGCAAGAAGTCCCCGTCAATGACGGGAGACCAGGTGAAGGACGACGTATTTGTCACATGGGAGCCTGAAATGACGAGGCTGGCGTCTCGGATAGTCTGAACGTCGGCCTTCTTTAGACAAGCCAGGCTGTCGGGACCAGCGCATCCTGTGCGAGCGGCGAGCTCGTCATAGAGAGCCTGCGCCTCGGGGCTGTCATAGGCATACGTCTTGGGCCAGAATGGGCTACTCGCCATCGCCTTGCGGAACAGCTTCTGCTTCCCTCCCCTACCGAGGGCTTGAGCCAGGACGCTGCCGCCGCCCGCCGACTGACCCCACACCGTCACGTCGTCCGGGTTGCCGCCAAACTGCTGAATGTACTTCTTAGTCCACCTCAACACGGCCTCTTGGTCCAAAAGGCCCGGGTTTAAGTCCGATTTTGGGTCGGCTGCGACCTCTTTGCCAGGAAGGAGCCCGAAGGCGTTGGTGCGGTAATTGGGGTACACGAACATCATGTCGGAAGAACTTGAGACGTTGAGAATCGGGTACGCCGTGGGCGGGATGTTGAAATAAGCCGAGCCCGCGATAAAACCTCCACCGTAAAAGGTGACGACAACAGGCTTCAGAGGTTCGTCCCTAGTCCAAGGGCGGGAGTAGAGACCGAGGTACAGGCAGTCTTCTGAGCCGTTCACCTACACAAGTAACCATCCCGTCAGCTAATCCCTTGCCACGCAAGCGACTAGTCGGGGGATCATTACCGTCCGCTGAGGGCACATATCAAACGGTTGACTGGAGTCATACATGCCACCCCCTACAGCCGCTGGGGGCTGGGGTCCTCGGAACCGGTTCTCGCCCACGGGCGGCGCGGCGTACGGGATCTTCCTCCAATACGAGATATTGTACTGTTGGGAGTACGCGCCCTGGAAGCTGCCGTAGTCGAGGTGCGCGACGAGATGCGTTGCCTGGTGCTCCTGGCGTGCCTGAACGGCGGCGCCGGATACGCAGCACGTCGCGACAAGCGCGGCGAGCATGGCGGCGGCGAGTGTCCTCGAGGCCATTGGCGGCATATCTGGGCGACTTTTTATCTTCTTCCAGGTAGAGAAGCCTGGGAAAAGCCTATAGGTTCGCACAGTAGCACGGTAGTAATTAAGGCCATCCTCGTGGGCGGCGGCTTCGATCACGCAGGTATATGTAGTCGCCTCCGGCACGCCGGGCTCGCTGGGCACTTCGACCTGCCTGCTTCATTTCTAGGCTGTATTAGCATCCATCTACCCGACTCGCCATCTAGCCCGGGGAAGATAGCAGATGAAAGCTGTCGCCGTCTTGTTCTGTGGGGTAGCTAGCGCCGATGGTGCAGCCCCGGCAAGGGTTCCCCTCTTCCTTTTCCCCATTCCGGCTTGAAGCCGGCCAGGGGTCTGACTCGGTGATTCCGCTCAATGATGGCCCGAGGCGACAGACGACTCCGACTGTGCCATTTCTCCGACCCAGGTCATGCAGTCTGCGCGTTGCTTTTTCATGGAACCAAAGGGGTTCCAGGAAGGGAAAAAAAATGCTTCTTGTAAGTTGCAAGACGACACTAGGCTTCTCTCAAAGGCGGGCATTCTGCTCACGTCACTCACAAGCCCGCCCACCACGGGGAAGAGTCCGATTGTTATAAATCAACCTTGGTCGCAATGGTTTAAACATGCCATATTCGTGAGAGGTCGAAAGGCGTTTCGTTCCTACCTCCAAAGCCATTTGGCTTGTTGGTCGAAAAAAGCTGTACTCCGGGTAAGACAGCAGATCCAAATGGTGTTCTGGGAGAGAGTGTGCTCACAGAAGAGCAACACGCGAAGATATGAGCAAGTGGCAACCGAGAGAAAGAGACTTATTAGATTACATGTTTGACCATGGGCGTCAACGTTGGCGTGAGGCCTAGCAAGTGTCATGCTGTCATTCTCTTGGCTGTTGTTGTTGTTATTGTTTTGGGAGTGTACGTCTCAGAATAGAGGAGCAGTGATCGCTTGTCATGGTGGACCAGTTGTGCGGCATTACGAGGAGCCGCGTTGACTCCGTACCTCCGTCTCTGTTGTGCATAGCTCACGATTTCAAACTGGGCAATCGTTGTGGATGCGGCCTGTCTGCCTGCGTATGAGAATCCATGAGGTTTTGCTCACGCGCTGAATATAGCCCATCGGCTCCCTCGGGGTTGCCATCTCTCTCCGGTATGCCGTAGAATAGTGCAACGACTGCGTGACAAGCTTCAATCCAACGTGGTCCTCCTCTACGACAGCCATTGCTCAACAAACCCAACAAACATGTAAACCCCCTTATCACATCGCCTCGGCACGCACCGCTCACGCAGGTTTAGCAGCACCAAAATGGGTTGCCACCACCGAATATGTGCTCGGGTCGGAAGCCGACATGGGTTGGTTCGACTGGACAAACGGGAAAGCCCGTCTTTTATTATTTTGGCCCAGCTGAAAATTGAAACTAGTGCTCTGTGGTTTTCCTTCGACAAACCGACAAGGGCTTCGTCCCCACAGGATAGATGATCTCAAGGAGAGCAGTTCCATCAGACTAGAGTTTCGCCTTGACCGCCCTGACACCAACCATATGGTTTCCCCCTTTGTCAGCCCACCTCCAAATCATGTACAAGAAAGATTATGGTCACGATGACGGTATTCTTTGCCCCAGTGTTACCGACGCTGCGCACCTTTCCGTCAGAAAACGACAGCGTCAAAACCCGCCGGATGAGGGACGACAATCTCCATCACGAGAACTCAAGCACCAAAGGGGGCTGGATGCCAATGTGGCTGCGGCGGAGGGGGCGGGGGCGGCCGCATGTGAGGGTGCATAGCAGGACCAACCGGCCAGATGGGCATGGCATGGGAATGCATCGCCCGCTCCATCGATGGCAGCGCTCTACTGCCCAGATCCTCCTCCCTCCGGATTGCCGTCTCGCGAAGCATCAGAGCTGCCACCTCCGGATGTCCAATCAAGAACTCAGATGTGTGCTGCGGTGCCCGCTGCCACAGCAGCGGCTGTAAAAAGCCAATACGCGCAAAAACCATTCTTAACAACGGATCAGACTCGGGCACTGTGGCATACAGCTTCGAACATAGCTGGAGAACCGCCGACTGCGCCGCGTCGGAACCGGCCGACTCGAGCATGTCGACGCAGTGGCGCTGGATGGCAGCCTTGAAGTCGTCCATGAGGTATTTGTTCGCACACGCATACACGGAAATGCTGAGGTCGTAGATGGCGAGCCACGTGCGCATGTCCTCGCCACGTATGCGGTCGCCGTCCATAAAGTCGGCGTTGGCCGGGGTCGACCCTGGAGGTGTGAGGATGGGCTGCCGACTGCGGCGTCGGTGAGGCGGCGGCGGCGGCATCGCCGCCGGCCTTAATGGGGGTATCGGGGTGACCATGTGCGGCGGGAGGTAGCCTGGTGTCGGCCTCGCGCGACTGACGCCACAGTTCCAACATGGCGGCCCGGTGCTGGTGGTGATGCAGCGCGGGCATCTGCAATCAGGGCGGTGTGTGCCCGGGTGTTTTCGGTTCATACGTTCCCATTGCCGCTCTCGCCGCCGTTGTCGTCGCTGCGCCCGTACCCGACTCCTGGCGCTCGCATCACTGGCCTCCGAGGAGGACATCTCCGACTCTGAATCGCTCCGGTGGCCGGGATCTTGTGCTTTCCCCCGGTGCGGCTCCTTGGTATCCAGCGCGGATGCGGCGGGCCTGATGGGGACGAAGCTTCTCTGGTACAAGAAGGCAATGAGGAAGTGAAATATGGCAGGATCCTCCTCCGGAAATTCCATCAACTGCGCTTCTGCTTCTCTGAAGTCCCCACAGAGAGCTTTCCGAAAGTAATCGGTCGTGAGCAAGACGTCTCTATGCACGTAGAAAACTTCTTGACCAGGCGCCCGGCCAACTCGCAAGGGTATGATGGCTGAGTTGTATCGACCATCGGCCGAGCTTAGCCACAGGTCCTCGCTGGGGCTGAGATCGTCTTTTCGCTTCGTTTCTTCGTACGTTTGATCGATGACGACGACGCCAGGAGAGCTGGTGGGGCCCGATCGCATCACATCGCCCAGAGTCCGAGATGCGCCATCAACGCTGTCACCGGCCCTCCCCTCAATGTGACCGCGACCGTCAACAGACATTCTGACCTTGGCGTGGATGCGTTTGGTCAACCGATTTTCGAATGATGTACGCCCGTTTTGAGCGTCACAGTAGAACGCGACAGACTGCTGCAGCTGGCCAGGTATGAGCCGAGTAAGCCGTGTGAGAATACAGCGAGAGAGGGCCAGAGGGACGGAAGGGCTCCTCCTCCGAGATGGGAGAGAGAAACGACGGCTTCATATAGGCTAGACTCGCGCCAGACCGAGGTCAGGCAGCCACGCCCCGAGCTATACGCAAATAGTCGAACAAGACGGATGAGGGTGGGTAGCTAGCTCGGTGGGCGGTGGCTGTCAGACCTTTGCTAGCCGCGCCCAGAAGGGCTCGCGACCACCAACCATGGCGAGGCGGATCTCGGTCACTAGGAGCCGGCCGGTCAAAGCCACTTTGGGACATGGTAGAATTCATTTATTTTCCCGCTTCCCGGCTGTGCCACTCCTGCATGAACCATTGCGCCGTCGCATGGGAATCGGCTGCATGTGGGGTGTCACCCAGAGTTCGCGTCGAGTCGTCATTCCCGCTGGGTCACGATCCTATTCCGTAGCGAACAGTCCCGGGATTGCTAGCCGCCTCGGTCTGCGTTCTTTACCCCTCTCATCCGAGAGCGCGTGCGCCTGTGTGAGTAAAGATGCGGTGTGTGGGTGGTATGGCTGGACGTATGCGCATCTCCGGAACGGGACGTACGAAATCGCTGCACCGCTCGGCGGGTGCCATGTGACGAGCCTGCGTTGCTTTTGGATGTCTTGCGCCGTTGCACCTCTTTCGTGTTGGTGGCATTCGAGGTGTTGACGTCCGGTTTCGTACCAAAGTCGCGGCTAGTTGGGCCACTGAGAAGCGATAGCAGCCCGTAGTGGCGGTGGGTGCCGGTGCTTCATCACACGCACGCAGCTTTTCCCGCCAAATGCGCTCTGCGGGTGTGGGTATGTAGTGAAGGGGGGGGGGGGGGGGGTTACCTCGTCCGACGCAATGCAGGTTGGACGTCTTCGTCACCAATTATTGACGGATGTAAGGCGGTATGCATGCGCATCTGCTGCGGGAAGTGATGGGAAACAGCCTATGAGCAGCATAGCCAACTGCCCGGGTACGATAGGTATATGTACTATGTACCAACTTTGCAACGGCAGCCGTGCAGCCAACCCCACGCGCGACGGCGGCGGTGTCGTTGGCCGCTCCAGCCGCCACCAGCGAATCCCGGCATGCTGGTCATTCTTCCTCGTAGACCTCCTGTTGCATCTGTATCTCTGTTGGCCGTCGTCAGCTGCTGTGCTAGGTGCATCCATCCTCATTTCACCGCCGGCGCCAACATGTTTTTTCGGTCAGACTTACGCCACAGTCGGTTGGCCGAGTCTGAGATGACCCTAGCCTTGGCCCTGAGTTTCTCCTCGTATTTCTCGCTTTCCTGCCCCTTGATGCGTAGTTTACTCGGTTGGGCCTGTCAAACCATGAGTTGCATTGCATGACGGGCTCGCGCGTCTAGTCTGCTTACCTGCATGAGAACCGGGAGAAGCTCGCTGGGGTCTGCATTTGCGATGGCCGCGACGCTGCGGAAGCCATTCTCCCAGAAAACTCTCCTGTTCCACCAAAGTTAGACACAGTTCCAACGCCGCCTCGGTCACGCAACTTACGCCGTCCTGCTCTTCACAAACGTAATCTGTGCCAAAGCCAGCAGGTCCGATTTGGCGCCTGCCCTCAGCCTGTCCGAAAAGTGATCCAGTGCGGCAGCCATGATTCTGCAATCGGGAATTAGTTGTTTGCTATGCCGAAACGAAATTGGCTCAACTTACCCCCAGCCCATATGCTCGCAGAACTTGATCATCCCAGCCGCAAAACCGTGGCAGGTCTGCGAGAGAGTTTGGACAGCGCCACGGGGCACGTCGTACTTACGCGCAACAGCCTGAATAGGCATCTCGTTGCACAGGTCTCGTAACTGAAAAGCCATGTAGAACCGACGGTACACACGAACCGTCTCCTTTTCTTCGGCGGTCGTTTCCTTCAGCGTGCTACCCTGCGCCCTGGACACGGTTAGCAACGTCGGAACGAAAGGCAAGGGTGCTTACAGCTTGTTGATCATAGCACGTTTGAGCCCGAGAAACCCCAGAACTCGGTGGCCGCTGTCGTCGAGGTTCTCCATTTCGTTCCGGAACACCTGCCAATTGACGTTGGTGCCGAAGTCCTGGACAGGAGTAAAGGTGTAGAGAATGTGCATCTCTCCGTCCATGACGAATGCTTGGAGTGCCCTTTCCAATTCCTTGTGGATAAACACTCCATCGTCGGGATCTAGAGCAGCGGCTACAATTGCCTTGCCTAGCGTTGTTGGCTGATAATTTCCGCAGACATCTGTTACCACAAAGTCCATCTTCTGCAGGTTTTGAAGGCTCGCCTCGACGCAGTCCTGGAGAGCCTCGAAAGAGCTGGAGTGGCTCAGTAGCGTCTTACGGATGTACTCATCAAGACCGCCTCTACTGGTTGCTAACCGCACGGCGATAACTTCTAGCAGAGCCCTGATATTGGTCAGTGTAAGAGCATGGAACAGTGAGCATCGTCTCTCTGACCTCTGAATACGCTGCTTGTCTGTCGTTAGACCGCTTGTGATATGCGGTATTTCGGCATGCATCAGGTCGACTACCTTCTCAAGGTCGTCCTTTCGGCAGCACAGGTAGGTCTCTCCGACTTCGTCCTTCCCCTTTCGGCCGGCTCGTCCACGCATCTGCCGAAGCATCGAGGGCCCGACGAAATCTCGGCCCATGCGGGCGTTATGGAGAATGACTCTCCGTGCCGGCCTGAACATGGTTAGCGGAGCCGATTTTACAAGTTCGAGAGGGGGGCGCAAAACATACAAGTTGATGCCGGCTGCCAGGCTACACGTGGCTATGCACACTTTGATGACTCCGGTGTCATATGCACTGGCAATTAAATCCCGCTCTTCAATTGTTAGGCCCGCCTGCAATGGTTAGCAGCTGACGTAACGTGATGTATTGGCGGGAACTGACGTCTAGTGAGCTGTTAGTCGGGGTATCAATATTCGCTCGAGAAAACCTACGATGAAAAGCGACACCCATCGGCACTGTCTCCTCGAGTACAGGATCAAGCCCCGTCCCGAGGCTACGTAGCTCGGCAAGTAAATCAATTCGTTTTTCAACCAGGGTGGGGTCGAGCTCGTTTTGCATCGGCATCACTCTGGCTATCCATCGAGCATCGGATTCACAGCCATAGCGACTGCTGGCGAATACTAGCGCTCCATATCCCGCTCTGGCCGTCTCGCTGGCGAGTGACACAACCGCGTTCAGTACCGGGTCTTGAAACTCTCTGTGGCTGGATGGCTCAACCCGTCTTATCGCTCTGGAAGTCAGAAGTTCTGGCTGTGTTCCTGTTTTCAAGTGATTGGCCGTCTTGAGCAGCTCGCTCATCGTGGCGGCCGGATAGACGTTTCCTTCATACACGAGATGCTCTTCGATCGGCACTGGGCGATAGCGCGTCTCATACGAATGAGCACCAAGCCAGTTAGCCAGGATATTGATGTTCTACGAGCCATCGTCAGCGAAAGAACCTTGCGGAACTTTACAGACGGGCCGCCACTCACAGACATTGTAGCACTCATGCCGATGATTTGGATCGGCTGAGGCAAGGTAAGCAATTTGGTCCCAATTAATTCCATAAGATATCCGCGGTGATCATCATCGATCATGTGTAGTTCGTCCAAGACGACCGCCTTCAAGTGGTTGATTGAACAATCATCGATCGCCGTGTTGATGAGCGCATTGGCCTGAGATGCTCGCAATCAGCAGGGTCAGGATTATGGGTTGTGATGCACATACCTTCTCGATAGTACAGACCCCAATATCGAAATCAGACCAAGTGGGTTTAATCTTGCTTCCCCCAAAGAAGCCGATGACCCTGATGGAGTCTTCGTCGGCCCGGCGTCTCCAGATGCGTTTCTCATCCTCAATTTCACACTTTGGCTTTGGCACGTCTTGAACGACATTCCGCAGCCAACGGACCTTTTCTTGTACAAGTGCAACATAAGGCAACACGAGGAGGGCTCTGGCATCTCTGTCTTCGAGCACCCTCTTCAACATCAATACTGGTATCCAGTTAGTATGGCATCGTAACAAGGGAGAGGCCAACTCGCCATCAGCCACCAAAGACTTCCCGCCTCCAGTTGGCGCACTATAGACGAGATTTCTCTCTCCAGAAAGAAGCCCTGGGCCGCGTAGGCAGGCCTTTTGCCACGGGTACATGATTTTGATACCAAGGCTGTGGAAGTTTCGCACCAACGGCCGAGGAAGTCCGTAGAAGGGATGGGCGAGGGCAAGCAATGGGTCTGAAGGCAAAGAAGGCGTTGAAGGGAAGCTCCGTCGCTGAGTGTATTCAGACGGGCCCTGGGTAACAACATCCAGAGAGATTATCGGGCTTGCTATGAGTTTTGGAGGGCCCGGGGGCAAACTTGAAGCTCGCTGTACATGTGCTGTATGGCTCGGCAGTGTTGTTGGCCTCGGCGCAGTGGGATGTTCGGACTCAGAGCGAGGCCTTTTGTGTCCAGCAACGGTGGAGACGGTTTGGTATGTTCGGCTTTGCTCGTGAGCGGCCTCAACGGAGGTCTTGTGCCATATGCCGTTATGGGAAGCCATGATGAAGTGGAGAGATTGGTAAAGGCCAAAGTGCAATGCATGGAAGACGGGAAAACACAAGCTGCCACGGGTCCGAGCTGCAATATAAAGATTGGATCACACCACTGAGTCTCGGGCGTTGAGCGATAACTAGGTAGAATTGGACTGTACCGACAGGTAACTATTCCCATCTGGTGGTGCAACACTGATTGGTAGAAAACGGGCAAGCGCGTCTCCATAGAACGTGTGAAGGCAGCAGCAGGGATGACCCACCTTGTCCAGGTCACGCGAAATCAGGTGCAGAGAGCAAAGAGAGCTTACCTCAGCGAGCACCTCCCGGGGTAACAATCAGTTGGTAAGGGCAGGGTACGTACCCTACCTAGGGGACTTGGAGAAGTTGGAATGGAAAGTGGAAACACAGCGTCTGGACTCGGCCGGGCTGACCGGAGCGTGCGGTCGGTACGTACTCTTCACTGGCAAGATCGGCCCCACTCCAGACCGAGCCATGCTTCATACATCACGACACACGGTCTATGTGGAGTTCGCCCGCTGCTCACAATTGTTTCCCTATTTTGAATATAGACTGGACGTGCCACTGACGGCAGTCGCTGTTACAAAATCCCGGGGGACTGCGGCCTATCGGACTTGAGTCGAAATAGACTGGGTCGACGAATGCTAAGGCTGCCTGCCACACGTTGGATTTTGGGGGGGGCAAGGGGATGAGGGAAGGGATGGGTCCCGCTTGACACGGGGGGGGGGGGTTGTCTGAGCTGTGATTAGAGTCCGGACACGATGCGATGGAGGACGGAGGGAAAAAGCCGAGTCCTACCGCGAAGGCAAACCGAGCAGAGAAAACGAACACTGTCAGAAAGGCAAAAAGAAGGACAGAAGAAGTACAGCAGGTAGGCAGTGGTTACTGGGGTCGCCACCATTTGTGTGCAGCGCCAGACACGTAGCCAACCTCGACAATCAGGAACCCGAACCGCACCAAAAAGCCCAACTCGTGAGAAGGGTGATCCATGTTCCAGTGCCAGCAGGAACAACTCTCCAAAGGGTACGCATCGATGCGGTGTCTCCCCGGGGCCAAGGCTACTACTAAGTGAGGCACAAGACCCTGTCCCTGGACAGGGATCATCATCTGGCCCCATCCATTCGTCAACGCTCCTCATTAGCCCCGTCGTGGCCTGCTACCAGCGACTACCACCCATCTTTTGCTCAAAGACGACGATGGACAGCGATAATTGTGTGCCGTTTGACGACCCAGCTGGCCGCTATTGGAGAATCTTACCGTCACACGTATTGGCTTCGGAGCCTGCATGAGTACCTATTGATGGAGGGCGCTGTTCGCAGAGAAGGTAGTCTTTCTTCTCTCGGGTGGCGTGCAGCTAGCTGCAGGCGCCGGGGAGGCGCGCACGATGCCCTCGATTCGGTCGATTCATCAAACCCGTAGTATCAGGCATCTCTCGCCCAGCGGGCAATCCCTTATGGTTATCAGAAGCTGCGCCGGCCCAGAGGGAGATTCGGGGAGCGAAAGGCAGAAATACACAACGCGTAGTCTCCCCCTTATTGCTAGCACAGGCCTATTTTGTCGAGTCCAAGCAACTGGCTTGTCCGTACATGGGCGTCGATGACTCGGCGCAGGGTCCGATGGTTAAAGTGGAGGGACGGTCGCGTTCTGTTTCTGCGTACAAAACCTTGGCCTCGATAGCCATCAAAATATCGCTCTCTCACCGGGTCCATCTTCCCCCCGCTGAAACGGAACGGGGTTCATGATAGTGCATGATCTTGTGGCCGGTGAATTTTGAGAGCGATTGAAAATGGCCGGGAATGCACTGCACTGTTCATCGGCTAGTGGTCTGCCCCTTGCACCCTGCGGCATGTGGTGCCTCTTTTTTTTTTTTTTTTTTTTGCGCTTGTGCCGGATCAACCGACAAATTCGGTCAACCTCATCTGTCTCTTCTGACGTTCCCCGTCTCTGCTGAAGCCAAATCTTGGCCGCCACTGCGGGATTTGTCCAACGGCGAGGCAGCTCGATCGTGGCTATCGCTATCACGAAGGGGATGTACTTAAAGTCAAGTCTTAAATATTACAACATATCTCGGTTCACCACTCGCCTTTCCCCTTGTCGTTGTTGCCATTCTTCGAGTAGTAAGTTGACGCTTGTGCATGGCAATGAAATGAAAGTTGTCCGCCATGGTTTATTGGCTAGCGCTAATTCCATCCGTGGATGGACAGTTGTCATTATTGGTAACTGAACAAGGCAGTTCAGGGTGAGATAGACAGCGTGCGGCAGCAAGTAGGGCCTCCTTTCGTCTATATTGCTAGGGAGAGCAATCGAGCGTAATCGATGAACGATACGTGCGAAACCTAGCTCGTTTGTCCTTGGGCTGAGTTCGTAAACTACAAGCCAGGCTGTAATTGCCCAGCTCGCTCTTGACTTCATTAGTCATCATGCCTGCCGAGGTGGGCCACAGTCTTCGTTGCGCGGGAATGACCAGAGTTACGTTGACAGCGACTGTGGGAAGATGCTACCAAATTTTCGTGCTCGAGTACTTGCGCGCTTCCAGGTTCCCGCCCTGAAGAAGACGATCCAGACTTGGAGAGGGGGAAAGCAAGATCAAAGCTCCGAGCCAGCCCATCTTCATCGTCAGGGGACGTCTGATTTGCGTACACTAGTGCTGCAGCGCTCCTATCATGGCAGAAGGACGGTACGTACCCGTTTGGTTGTCTGCCAGTGTTCCTTGCGGCTCCACCCCGGCGTCGAAGAAGGGAACTTGAGAAGTACCTTGGCTTTCTCACGGACTTCAGCGTGTTGCCCCTGTACCGGGAAGTACTGGGTAGGGTAGACATGTGGTTTGAACTTTGAAACACACAGTGGTATTGTTTGCGCTGAAGTGTCTTCAAACCGGACGGTCGTCAGAAACGTCAAGAACGAATTGCAGGCGCTAGGGAAACGAACCCTAGTATTACAAGGGCGGGGGCGAGGGCGCCTCGATCTCACCTGTACACTTGAGGTACGGGGTGGTGCGCGCCGTGCCTCGGACCAGCTAGATGGACGACGGTCGGCATCTGACTGTGGATGCACCTGCTCAATGCACTGCCATCCAACCAACCGCTTCATCCTGGGCTGCCCAAGGTGATGGACAATGAAAGCAAAAAAGGACGCCGTATGGGGAGACACGTAGGTAGTCGGTGCGGTGTCAAAGTTTTGCACCGTTTCCTTGCCGTCGCAGTAGAAAATGAATGCCGTGTCCTTGTAGATAGAGCATCCTACCACGGATGAGGTAAGCGCACGATATGTACGTCGATACAAAGCTTGCTGACGGCGGCGATGGATCGACCCGACCGGTCCTTTATTTGCGAGGCGTTGTAGCGACTCATTCGCCTCTCCGACGCCGAAACGTTCTTGGGATGGGGGAGGGAGCGCAGCGGCAGTGACATTGTCAACGGCGATGATGGCCAGACGTAGCAAATGAAATTGCACCACAGGATGGTAAGCCACTTTGCAGGTTCAATCTTTCAAGAGGTGGTAGCCTAGCCAACTCCTCAGGCAATAGGCGCGAGGTGAAAACTTTGCCAAGAGGTGATGTTCATATTGAGAGAGGGGGCACCGGGGGCAAAAACATAAGAAAAAGGGAAAAGGTATGATGAATACTCGATACCAAGCGAACATACAACGTGGTGCAGTAATAACGTCCGGAAATGGCCCCCATGTCGTGTATATAACGTTGGCAGGCCATGTGTGCACATCAACACACACACACACACACACGCGCGCGCGCGCGCGCGCGCGCACCTCTTGTAAGAAATGCAAATAGGGGGAAACGTGCAATGACGCAGTGCCGTGGATACAGACAAATGAGTAAGAAATATATTTTCAAAGTGAATGCGGAAAGAAAACCAACCGGATGAGGTTCGATGACACCGACATGGAGCATTTGTTCCGACGCACCTCCAACCACGGTGTGTCCTGCCAGAGCCGGGGCACATGATGAAGAGACGAGATATTGTAGATCAAAGGCAGTAAAACGGCGGAGACAGGCGTACATGGTATTTCAGTTTTGGAGGGACGGCAATAGCCCGCCAGAAACCATAGGCAGGGAAAGGGCTGAGTGAACTAGTCAAAAAGGGCGCAACGGCAAAGGAAAGAAGTGCTGTTGTTGATATTGGGGTGGGCGGCCAAGAGTAGCTAGGTAACCCAGGAGGTGGGATTCATATGGGACCGACACACATGGGTGATGACGGGGGTGTGGACGACATGTCGTGGGCAGATCCCTACGCGGTAGGGAGCCCTTCGTTTCCACAGGGTTGGACAAACCGGGGTGCGACGAACCAAGGAAAGGAATCGAAGGAAGAAGTGGGCAGGCCGTCGAACATGACATGACCAGCAATCAGAGGAACATAGTATGTGACGGGAGCGAAAGCGACGGCGTCAGTCTATGGTCGGCCTCCCCCGGGTGCACTTGTGTATTTGCTATTACGCTTGAACCCGACGTATTCTAACGTGGAGGTTTTTTATTTTATTTTTTAAGCCGCTGACAAGGCCAAAAGTGAGGCAAAGGCACGGATCGGCGGCTTGCCGGCAGGTCAGCTTTTTCTGAGTTCCGAGTATAGATACAATTGAGATAGCATGAATAGGAGATGAACATCCGGGGCGTAAGACGGGCAACTGGGGGGGAGGGGACGGAGAGGACGAGGTTCGATCTCGTGCCACCGTAACAGGAAGGCATGGATATCGATGACAAGGTAGGAGATGCGGTGGCAGAAAGGGAGGGGAATTCGCTGGGGAGAACAGGCGACGTCAAAACTGCAAGGGAAAACGGGGGAGGCAGATGGCGAATAGAGGGTGACGCCGGCGGCACTAAGGGCGAGAGAGAGGGACAACAGGTAGGGCGGCAGGCAGGCAGGCAGGCAGGCAGGCAGCGACAAGTGGTTTCCGTGACTGCGCAGGAAATGCGAACCATACACGTGCCTTGCTCGCACCTTGCTTCATGCCGTTGTTCGTTCGTGCCTGCTACGTACAATAAAGTCACCTACCCAAGAGGTATCTACCTACCTACTTGATAGGTACGGATAGTGTACAGATACTGTGAGTGTAGACAGGCCCCCGACACCCCTGACACAGACCAGGCCCAACAAGCCAGCCAGCCCCGGCCGGCCGACTGTTTGAACGTCAACATCGTTAACTTAGATTGCCGTTATTGAGTGAAGTTAATTCGGGGCGCTGACACTCCACTGTTGCGAGAAAGTTAGGGAACTGTAGGGCACCGATGTTCCGAGCCATCAAATGAGATTTATCAAGAATTAATCTAGCAAGTCGGATGGAAGAGATGCGGTCGGCAAGGTGTCTGATGTCCGATGAAGGCAAGGTAACGTAGGTATGCACGGAGGTACGTCGAGAACAAGCGAGCTAGCGACTGGTACACAGAGACAGGAAGAGAGAGAGAGAGAGAGAAAGCGGAGGTCAGACATCGCCTTATGCAGGTCTTGGGCATCGTCCACACACACACACACACACACACACACAAGTCTCTGGAATATTTCTTGCCAACCTTACTTCTCAGGTCCTTGGTCGCCGTCGTTGGTTCTGTGGGTGCGGTGCTGCAATGCTTTCGCTCTCTCTTTCCCTTTGCTCACACCCACACCACGCCAGACACACACACACACACACACACACACACATACGCACCACGTACCCGACTGGACTGACGATCAGTCGGCGGGGATTGAAATGGATGGATGGATGTGCCAGGAAAGTGCCCCCCCGACTTCCCACAAAGAGAAGAAGGCGAAGAGAAGAAGATGAGGTATGGTGACGATCTGATAGAAGGGGACGAAAGGTGAGATGGAGGGGGGGCGTGCGGTTGGATTCTGCGGCGTTGGCAGGCTTGGATTGAGGTGTGAGGTCGACGGGCTCTTCGCTCTGGTGCCAGAGTGATGACTGCGGGAGCGGGTACTGAGGTACATGAGTGGGTCTGGTATCATGCAGGCTGTAGCGGCGTATCGCTACTCGCTCATCGTGCAAATTTGCTAAGAAATACGGGTAGTGTTCCCCAACCTGCAGTAGATCGATACTTCCCACCCAGCCCCATCCGCGAGAGAAGGAGAGGAAGAAAAAAAAAAAAAGGTGAGGGTCTGCTGTTTTCTGCTTGCTGCTGCTGCTGTTACGCCTGCTGGCCCAGACTGACTGGGGAGAGCGACCTTGCTCTAACCTACCTTAGCATTGGTCATTGGTTCTGCTGGTGGTAAGGAAGCAGGTACGTATCTTCCCGTCCAGACATGCTGCTCCTTTCCCACCCCAGGTGCATCGTCCATCAGGTACTTGGCCCCATTTCCTGTACATCCCCCCAAATTGTCTACGGAAAGGTACTTTCTTCACTTTGTTGCTAGGTGCGGCACTGGCAGCCCAGGTTTATGGACAAGGCAAAAGGCGAGGCAAAACAAGGCCAGGTAATAGTTTAGGAAGCTTGGGTAGGTAGGTAGGTAAGTAAGTAGAGATGGACCAGGTGCAGGTGCAGGTCCATCCATCCATCCACCATCCCATCCGTCGGCCGGTGCTTGGTGCCTCTCGTGCTTGGTTGCTGGACCTGGTACCGGTGCCGCTGCTTAAGGTCGACCGTCGACCGTCGACCTTCTTTGACGTTTCCTACCATTTTGCCTTCCGCTTGTCTGGACCTGGACCTGGACCTGGACCCGTCTTCCTCTTCTCCTTCCTTCCTTTCCACATCACTTCCTCCCTGCCCATCTTCACCACCTTCACAAACACGCCCGATTCTGGCTCCGGCCCCCCATTGCTTCCTAACCCTCCCTGGTCGCCCGGAACCTTGACTCTCGGCTCCCATCTAGTCCTTCCCACTACCGATCCGACCCTTACCTTACTCATTCACCCTTCCCTTTCCCATCATCCTTTCACTCACTCGTTCTCATCCTCATTCTCATCCATCCACACCGCACCCCAAACACCACACACATCCATCCCTACATATCCAGTATCCGCTGCGCTCGCGTCCACGCGCCCCGTCTCCCAGCGTCACGTACTGCCCATCGGCTGGATTCCGTAGCCTTCGCGCAGTCACATCCCATATATCCATCCCCATCGGACGCGATCCTTCCACGCATCCATATCTACCTAGCCGTCTCATGGGCCACATCTCGTCCACGGCCGCCTGCCTCACTGCATAAGTAGTCCTCAGATCCCATTTGGCCCAGCCTATGGATCAGAGCCTTCGCCCTTCTGCAGACGAGCTTCAACCTGTCGGCCCTCTTGCACCTCATCACCCGCGGGAAGGGCCCCGACCAATTTCGTCTTACCTCCCAACCACGCGCAGCTAGCCATCGCCATCATGGCACAGAAAACCCAAACCGCCAGTAGTTCCGAGGACCAATCCGCCAGCGCCACTCCCTCTGCACGGGACGCTTCCGATTCTACGCAGCCCGCCACTTCGGCCGCGTCAACCTCCAAAGCAGCTTCTGCCGTCCAGAAGTCCCACCAGACGGAGCTCGACGCGGCCCTGCGCAACACTTCGCAACCCATGGCCAAGTCGTCCTCCGCAGGCTCAGACCCCACCGCCAAGGACGCTGGTATCGAGGCCGCGAACCCCTATGGGACGCGATCACGAAACCGCAATGGATCGTCGCGCCCAAATTATGCAGAGGACAAGGACCTGGACGTCGACATGTATGATTACGCCCCCGAGAAGAAGGACCAGGAGTCCAAGAAGTCGGCGCGTCACAGCAATGTGTCGGCCACGCCCGCCCAAGAGGGCGCGCGCACCAACGGCTCAGCCCGTAAGGCTCTCCCATCCGACGACACCAAGCCAGCTCCTCCTCAGAATGGAGCAAAGGACGTGCAGTCCGCAAACCCATCCCCAGCAACGCAAGCATCGGCCTCGGCAAACTCGACGCAACCTTCGAAAAAGCGCAAGGCAGCTTCACACGCCGCGACTGCCACTTCTCATGCCCAGGCCGCGGCGACAACATCGTCGTCGGGTGCCGGCACAGGCGCTTCACGAAAAACGGCATCCGGCCCTTACGCTAGCTCGTACGCAGAGACGAACATGCTCAGTTTCGAGAGTTCTGGTGCGGTCCCCAAAGACGGAAAATTGGTGGCGGATGACGGTACCGTCCTAGCACCCAATGGTAAGACAGCAACAAACCGCACACGCGCCCTCACCCATCCTTGTGCTCCCCTGTTCACTTTTACTTCTTTCCGTCTTTTTTTTTTCTTTTCTTTCTTTCCCAGAATAGGACGATGAGATGCTGATCCCAGATTGCAGACAATGTCTATCTTGTGTGCGAACCCCCAGGGGAGCCGTACTACCTGGGCCGCATCATGGAATTTCTCCATGCGCAGAATGACAACACCAAGCCGGTTGATGCACTTCGCATCAATTGGTTCTACAGGCCCAAGGATATCGGGAAAAAGGTCAATGACACCCGCTTGGTGTTTGCGACGATGCATTCCGATATCAGCCCTCTGACAGCTTTGCGTGGCAAGTGCCAAATCCTACACAAAGCAGAAATCCCCAACATGGACGAGTATCGAAAGATTTCGGATTGCTTCTGGTATGAGAAACTCTACGACCGATACATCCAGAAAAACTACGATCTCATTCCCACGTCGACAATCGTGAACGTGCCCGAGAGAGTCAAGAAAGTACTGGACGAGCGCTGGAAATTCGTTATTGTGGAGCAGGGTCGCGGAAAAGAGTTCACTAGTGCAGTGAAGCTCTGCAAGCGATGCAGCGGCTACTGTGCAAGGTTGGTCCACCCACGCCGCGGTCTAACAGGAGTTGGGGTCGCTAACAGAATGTCAGCAATGACTCGGTCGACTGTGCTGTGTGTAAGAAGACATACCACATGAACTGCGTCAGGCCACCGCTACTGAAGAAGCCTTCGCGAGGCTTCGCTTGGTCCTGCGCTGCATGCAGTCGCGCCCAGGAACGCAAATTGGAGGCTCGTCATACACCTAACCTACTGGATCCCGCAGGCGACGGCGACGACGAGGATCTCTACGATGACGATGACGAAGAGATGCATGTCGACACCGAGCGGACAAGCCCCGCCGACGACGACGACTCTCACCGCACGGGCACTGCGGAGCAAATCTACCAAGCCAGCCTTTGGCCTTGGCGGTACCTCGGAATGCACTGCAAGCCTGAGGATGCCCTGGATTACGACGACCGAATCTACCCTCGTGCTAGTACTCGAATTGGTCCCAAGCATCAAGCTACTGTGCTCCCATGGCCTGGCCAGCCTGTGCAGTACCAAAAGCCTCTTGAGTTTAAGAGAACCGGAAAGAAGGGACCGGGTTTGTCGAAGGAGGCGCTGGCGGCTTTGGAGGCTGAGAAGTCCCGTCGCGAGAAGCGCCCTAAGTGGGTTCAGGATGAGCCTCCCGGCTATGTGGCAAGAGGTGAAGATTACGACGACGACGACGACCCGAACGCGACGGCCACCCGATTGTGGGCCCCGCCTCCAGCGACTGAGAAGACCAAGGACTGGGAGGCCAAAGTCGACCGGTACATGAAGAAGGCGGAAGAGCTGGCGCCCAAATTCAATCTGCCCAAGAACTCCACCAACCTCCACGATGTCGCGCTGGAAACCTACTACCACAGTGGTTACAGTGAAGACCGCGCTCTAAAGCTTCTTTCCGAAGTGGACAAATCAGCTTTCAAAGAGCCCGACCTGACGGCAACGGAGCAGAAAAAGTTCGAGGAAGGCGTCGGGAAGTACGGGTCCGAGCTTTATCTCGTCAAACGACATGTCAAGACCGTTCCACCCGGTACAATCGTGCGGTATTATTATACTTGGAAGAAGACTCCTCAAGGTAAACAGATTTGGGGCAACTTTCAGAATAGAAAGAGCAAAAAGGAGGCCAAAAAGGCAGAGGTCGCTGCGAGCAAGCTGCAGGACGATATCGCAGACGATGCCGACGACTCCGCGTTTGACGGCGACAAAGCGCACAGCAAGAAGAAGGGTTTTGTGTGCAAGTTCTGTCATACCAAATACTCGAGGCAGTGGAGGCGAGCTCCCAACGCATCAGGGACTCCCGTGAGCGAAGGCGGGGGCAAGAACTCCAGCAAGGACAAGAACAACCAGTATATCCAAGCACTTTGCCGCAGATGTGCTGAGCTCTGGCGGCGCTATGCTATACAGTGGGAAGATGTTGACGAGGTGGCCAAGAAGATTGCTCAAGCGGGCGGCCGAGCCTGGAAGAAACGTCAGGACGAGGAGCTCCTCAAGGAACTCGAGGCCGCCAAGGAAATGCACACCTACTGGAACACGCCTCCGCCGCCCAATGCCCCGGAGCCGGCCACTGCAGTGCCTGCGGCACCCTCAAGCGAGCCACCACGCAAGAAGCTCAAGAGTTCCGCCCCAGACAGAGACTCGGAGCCGTTGGCGTCGGACTCTACTCCGGCTGCCGCCCCTACCAAAAAGAAGGAGAAGGCCATTGAGAAACCGGCCCCTCCACCGGCACCTGAGATCCCGAAGCCCAAGACCATGCCCTGCGCAATCTGCGACCAGCTGGAGCCATTGGGAGACCAGCATCTGTCTTGCAGGGAGTGCCGGTTGACAGTGCACCGCAACTGCTACGGAGTTGTTGATAACAGAAACCCCGGCAAATGGACATGTGACATGTGCGCCAACGACAAGAGCCCACAGGTTTCGATCGTATGTCAAACCCCCATCTATTTCGCCTAATCCGACAGCTAACCTGTTTGCAGCAATACAAGTGTGTCTTGTGCCCGATTGAGCACACGGAACATGACTTTGTTGAGCAGCCTAAGATATCTGCTTCCAAGAAGAAGTCAGAGAAGGAGAAGGAGCGCGAACGGGTCGAGCGTGAACAAGCACAGAAGGCTGCCGACTACTACAGGAAGAAGCAGGAAGAGAATAACCGACCAGTCAACCCTCGGGAACCTTTGAAGCGAACTGCAGACAACAACTGGGTCCATGTTACCTGTGCCGTTTGGACGGCTGAAGTCAAGTTTGGCAACGCAAAGGCACTGAGCCCGTCTGAAGGTATCCCTTCTATTCCTCGAGTGAGGTACGATGAGGTTTGCAAGGCCTGCAGCCACAAGGGTGGCGCCTGCGTTGCCTGCTATAATTGCCGCAGTCCTGGTGAGTGTGGTTTTCCTTCCTCTTTTGAAACAGTGCTAACCATGGCCATTATTAGTCCACGTTGAGTGTGCTCGTCAGCAAGGCTACCTACTCGGCTTTGACATCACTCCTGTCAAGGGGTCTCGCCGTGATCAGTTCAACCTTGTTACCATCAATGGCGAGAGTGGCGTCATGTCAGCCACAGTGTGGTGCAAAGAACATGTCCCGACAAAGAGCGTCATACATCGTATGCACGACGTTGTTAACGATGACGGGCTTAATGCTCTGCAGCTTTACGTGCAAAGCTACAAGCAGGCAGATCTCACATTAACTGGTACAGTCCGAAAGGCCAATCTTATGACGAATGGTGCCAAGATGGGCGGTATTCCTGTCACGCCAAGTACTCGGCGGGCATCAACCACGGCCATGCCTGCCAACGGCACTTCACACAGCGGGAACAATAGCGAAACGGCAAGCGATCATCAAGCAGGCGAGAAGATTTGCATCACCTGTGGCATCGATGTCAGTCTCAAGTGGTGGTCCATCGAAAACTCAGACGAGCGAGAACTCACCAACGGCCACTACGGAAGCCTCGGGTCGGAGGCTCAAAAGTTCGTGGAGCAGAGGAAGTTCCAGTGTCACAAGTGCCGGAAGCTGAAGCGAAAACCCAACCCCCATCCGCCCAAGGACCCGTCCCCAGTCGTCGAAGCCGCGAGACTCGTACCTCCGCTCCCAGTTGTTCCGCCGCACCACGCACTGGCTGCACCCCCTCCGGGCCCTCCGTCCTTGAGAAGCCCACCGACAACCGGCCCAGAGGCAAGGGCTCGCAGCCTCTCGTCATACGCCTGGGTAGCCCCGGCACCGCCTCCGCCTCCGCCTGCCTCGCAGCCTGCGGCTCCTCCCCCACCGGTTGTTCCTGTCGCACCACCGGTCCAGGCTGCCCCAGCGCCTCCCCCTATCCCACCAACGGCACCTCACCAGGCTCCAAGCCCCTACGGCCCTCCTCCGGCGCCAAGATATGGAGACTGGCATAGTCGTCCACCCGCCCGGCACAGCTCGCCACCCCAGCGACCGCCGCCGTTCCAGCCTCTGTCGACGTTGCGTCCTCCGCCGATGGCAGTGCCTACACACTCCCCGATGCCCACAGCCGTTCCCGCCGGGCATATGGGTCAGCCTGCTCATAACGGAATACCGTCTTCGCCCTCGCCCTTAATGGCCGGGCCCATGTCCCACGGATCACACGGATCACACAGCTCGCACGGCTCACACGGGTCGCCGTACATACACCCTTACCGACAAAGTCCCCACGGACCACCTCACGCCTTGCCTAATGGCGGTCCTCAGCCGAGGGGCCCTGATGCGTTTGCGCAAGGACTTCTGCCTCAACGAGCGCCATACGGCAGTCCTCCTGCCCATGACGCTGGAGGTCCTCTGAGGACACCCAGCATGCGCCCGAGCAACGAACCCCCTCGACCAGCGGGAGCAAGTACCAGCCCGTCACTACGTAACCTGCTCTCCTGAGAGCCTCGAGGCGGATTGCTTTAGTATTTCTGTTTTTCAGGAGTCTCGGTGGATGGAAGCAAAGGTCGTCATTGAGACATTTGGTATCAGAGTTGCAGAGCGGAGGTAAACTTTGCCCGTCTGATGTAAAATATTCATTGGAGTGGAGAAAAATGTGTCAACTGACACTCGATTGTTAAGATAAAGGATGGTCGCAAGTGAGGACCACCAGCAAGGGATTGGGGCAAAGTCATCCCACAAAACGCGCGAGTTAGAAGTTATGTCTTTGAATAGAAGCTTGTCAATGCTGCCGGCATTCAAAGTCTCTGCAACCAACCCATTTACAGAGCTTCTGGCCATCTCGTGATTATTCTTTGCTCTGCCCCCCCCCCCCCCCCCCCCCCTTCTGAAAACCCCGTAACGATTGCGATGGCACATCTATTCCTCGCCGATATCCTCATTCCTGTTCAGCATGGAAAAGTCAGCTTTGCCTCGCCGAGCAACTCAATCACGGGGGGGCCAAAGGGTTCAGATGCATAGGAGCCATACCAGATTTCGGGCTTCTCGGCGATGAACCTTGCCATGAGGGCCTTGCACTCGGCGCTATCCAGAACGACAACCTCGACGCCGCGCTGCTTGAGATACGCCTCGCCGCCGAGGAAGGTCCTGTTCTCGCCGATGACGACGCGGGAGATGCCGTAGAGGAGACAGGCGCCGGTGCCTATCGTCATCAGTAGGGAGCTCAAAAGATAAATCATCGTAGTCTTCGTTCAAAAGGGCGGGGGGGGAGGGTCAGGAGACTTACACATATCGCAGGGGGATAGTGTCGTGTACATCGTGCTGCCCTTGTAGGCTTTGCCGGGCAATCGACCCGAGTTGAAGAGGGCGTCGGTCTCGCCCTGTTGGGTTATGTCAGTTCCATCAGGTTGTGTGAGGATGACGATAGCATCAGAATCAAGAGAAAATAGAAAGCAACAGAAAGAAAAGGGTGGGAGCGTATTACATGGTGGATGGCGGAACCCATTTGCACGCGGCGGTTGTGGCCGCGGCCAAGGAGCTTGCCGTCTGCGGAGACAAGCGCGGCTCCGATCTGACGGAGGGGTCGATTAGCCGGCGTTAGCTCGGGACGCTTTGGACTTTGGAATTGACGGGGATTGGCTATGGTTCAAAGACATACGGGAACGCCGCCCTCGGAAGCACCGGTCTTGGCCTCCTCGATTGCGATGGCGAGACCCTCTGCGTCGTTCATGGTTGATTTGACACACGCAAGAGCCGTACAAAGTGAAGTGGGGGGCGGGGTACGGTTAGAGGGGGAAGTGTCACGTTGAACAAAGTTTCGAGAAACTTTTAGCAGACTGATGATTCGGGAGCACGAGGATGTTTCGATCGAGGGTGCTAGTTTTTGTTGCCGAAAAGTACTATTTAGGGACCAGAAACGATGGGGACTGGGATGGAGGCGGCACGGGTGGCTGCGGAGATAGGAGTTGACGTATGAGACGATACTGTATGGATCTCGGGATAGTTATTCTTATCGGGAACTCCACTTCGTTTGCGAAGGGCTCGCTCCGTATCATTGGGAATCGACCATTCATTCACCTGTGAATTCAACACTACAGTCACCGTGTTTAGTCTAGGGAGTCGGTTTTCTTGCACAACCCTCGAGTCTCGGTGGAATTCCGAGGCGAATGCTCTTCGAACGCCTGACAGGTCCTGGCTCGTTCCTTCCTTTGGAAAAGCTCGCCGTTCCGGGACAGGCTCAGCAGGGGGCCGAGAAGACTGCAGATACGGCAGAGATTGTTGGAGGAATGCTAGAGAAGACACTTCCCACTCGTTTCTGCTTCCTCAAGTCTTGATGGCAACCCACAGGCACTCTTCCAACTTCCGGACCTGCTGAGGTGGGTGGTCGACTATTGGTTTGCTTCCGAATATGATATCCGTTTGGGCCAGAAGCAAGATCAGTACAGTGAATAAGCCAACGAGCAAACCAAGAAGAATGGCAAAGAGAACAAGGGCAACAACAGAGAGGAGCCTTCGTCGTCTTGCACTTTGATTCGGACAAGCCATGACTGGAGCCTTTTTCTCATTTCTTCCCTTTACAATGTTCATGATGGAACCACGACTTGAAGACGGTTATCGCCAACATCGCCATCGCACGGCGATCTGAAACCTGGACGGGTTTCCTGGTTCCGTTTGTAAGGACAATATGACAACCAACACCCTTGTAGACATAGCAGACGGCTATTTGCGTCGGGCGTTTTACATCGCTGCAACCGACCTTCGGCACCGGCATCAAAGGAATCCGAGATCCTCATCAGATTTGTTGTCGAGAAAAGACCGGCACGTTACGGATTTTGCTCACTTGGACTACATCTGGTCAGTCGTGGAAAAGGCCCACTAATTTATCGCGGAACTGTTTCCAAAGTCTCCATGGTGAAGAATCATCCCCTGCCACAACAAAGAACAATTGGGAGCTCCAGGTGCATTCTGCCTACTCGTGAGGCTCGGCGCCGGGTGATGCCGCCCAGGCAGCGAGGTGCCCGGGTGATAAGTATGACGAAGAGGCCTATAGTTGCCATCAAGGAGGGAACAACAGAGACCAGCGCAGCTCGGGAATCCTTGGTGCAAGGAACAGATAGCTACTTGCGTTTTGATGGTGCGACGAATTGTCATGGGATTCCCACCCCTCGAATATCACAGGTTCGCGAATAAGGCGGACGACGTTGGGCCAGCGTCCAGATAGACAGACCATCGTACCGTTCCAACCGTCTGATCATGCAAAGTCCGAAAACCGGACGACGGACCTGGGATTGGCACCTGTTCGGACTGTTGTCTCGGTCAAGCCATCGGATGATATTGCATGGGACCACGAGGGTTCAGAATAATGAGCAGACTTGTATGCAGGCAGACCACGGGTACGGTAGTGCAAGCCAGCAGAGGACAGCGACGGACGATGCAGCAGGGAAGCGCCGAGCTTGCGCAAGATACAGAATAAGCTCGTCAGGTGAGGGGAGGGGATGGAGAAGCGCAGACGGGCCGAGAGAGGAGTATCCTGGATGAGAGAGAGAGAGAGAGAGAAGGCTCGTGGGCAAGACTGAGGAAAAGCTGCCAAACAAAGTTCAAAGGCTGATATCAGGGTTTCTGGCGGCTGTGAAGAGGAGTAGGGTTCGCGATGAGTCGTCGGTTGCGGGTGGAGAACGGCCGTTGGTTAGGGATCAGACGGCGATGTTACTCCAGATCAAATGCACCCGAAGCTTGCATGGGCGTTTATCTATCCGTAGGTAAAGTAAACTCGTATATCGAAATTTAGGTGGGGCCGTTTCGAGATCATCCCAAGGAGGTAGAAGAGAGGACCGGCCGAACTCGAGCTTCAGCCAGATAGATCCACATGACAGTGAAGGTGATGCAAGGTCAATATTCCAATTTCTCTAATTTTAGTTGAGAGTTTGACCATATCTCACCTAGTTAGTTCCTGTTTACGACAATGTTTGCCGACAACGATATTCCTCCAGTGACGGGTTGAAGGGTGTGTGTGCGCGTGTGCGCGTGTGTCTTATGTAAGAAATGGAAAGTGACGCAAGATCTCTCGAGCGAAGGTTAGCCCCGATGCTCCTTCCTTCGTCCGTCGTCCTGCTCGGCCTAGCGACCAAAAATGCTGTGAAGGACCTCTCCCCTCCCCCCTTCCCTCCACTGGGGCGGGCGTCTTTGCCCGTGGGCCGTGCACGGACGTCACCCTGAGTCCTTGGTTGGAGCGTCAATTGGAGGGGAAAGGACGCAAAAGTTGAGTCCACTCCTTCGTCCTGGCAGGAGCAATGCAATTCCAATGTGAGTAGGTAGGTACCTAGGTACCTAGGTACCTGGGTACGGCAGTGGTACCTAAGGTAGGTAGCATTGGATCCCCATCATCATCACGGGTCGCTTTTTCATGTCCAGTGAGAGGGTTCTCCCGCCGCCGGGAAAAGAGAAGGGATGCGACGGAGGCCCCAGCACAAAGCATTGATGGACTGGTCGCCGCTTTGCTTCGTTCGAGATTGCCTGGCAGAGGCGGGGGAGCCGGTACTTTGCAATTTGCACGCGGGCACATGCGTGGTGGGTGGGTTTGTAATGATTCGGCAGCACCTATGGCTAGGTAACTTGGGTATGGCGGTGCAGATGATACCTATGGCAATCAATGACGAGATTCTCAATCCCAATGGCTTGGAATGAATTGTTTCCCCTTTTGCAGCCAGTCTCCCTCTTCGTCCGTATCCGTCGTACATCGGGACACAGCAGAGACGGAGTCTCTTTGACGCCACAAGCCAGCGTCTCTGAAGAACCCAAACAGTGCATGGAGGCGGCGATCATCAGTCTTAGCGCCTTGGAGCAGCGAGGAGTAATCTGGGTATCGGGTATCTTAGCATAACGTACCTAGGTAAGGTACGAAATAGTTAGTGCAGGGCAAGTTGACGGAGGGGTACCTTGCGCTTTCCTTCCTGCTCTTTCTTGCTGTGCCTTACCCTTTGGGTACCTACCGAATTCACTCCCGTCCTACCTCCTCTCACTCCGCTCTGCCTTGCATCTATCCTCCTCCTCACCTTACCGCCCTCCTCCACTGCCTCACCCGCTCTTTTTTTTTTTAGGGACCTTACTCCGAAAGGCACGGTAGCAGTGCATACCACTTTTCGGCCTCATACTAACTTTCCCTGCCCCTCCAAAGTACCTTGTCTGAGGTGCTCGGGGCGAAAGGTACCGCGAAAAGACACCAAGAGAAGGGTTCAAAAAGTCAAAACCGAGGAAGAAGAAAAAGCCGTAGAGAGATTTTGCGCTGGGTTACCCTTACATCCCATCACCTTACCCTTCGTCTCTCTTTCCAGCAATACCCAGCAGCACAGCCCAACTTTGGGGATTTGCCTGGGTTTTGGGTGCAGCTGATCGAGCCCACACTAAATCTCCCTACGGCCAGCAGTGAACGCCGCTTAACAGAACCACCACCGCGCCTTCGCCCGCACTCCTTTGATCATCCTTGACCGGCCCCTTTTTTCCTC